TTGTTCTACCTTCTTTGTTGTTTTCTCTTTGCCTTAGTGGTTTGCAAATCATTGTGGGTGAGAAAGGAAGAGAGCAACCATAAGTGAATTTTGTTGTGGGCTGAAGTTCTTGGATTGACTGATTGATATTGGTTGGTAAGTTTAATATGAACCCGGAATCCACAATTGAAGATCTATTCCGCTACACTTACAAAAGTTTCTACTTACTTTCTGAGAAAGTACCTTTTTACATTTTTTTAGGCTTACCCAAACGTGCTCAAATCTTAGATGATAAAATTAGATGTATGTGCAAACCACTGCATGTGGAATTCCTGCTCACATATATGGACATTCAAATCGTACAAGGATTAACTAAAAACAAGGATAAAACAGTTGGAAATTGAGAAAGGTTAAATAACAAGACAACTAGATTTTCAACAGTCGCCTCCAAACAGAAATATCACAATTGGCATGTTTGACTTAAAACCTTACTATAAATAAAATTTATTTTTAAGCTTAGCCAAATATGCTCGATCATGTCTACCTCACCTCTTGGGATTATCAGAAAATGATTTTTTTTTAAATAAAGAATATAGACATTAATACAAATGTTAGCATCATACCTTAGGTGAAACAATGTGCATTTATGACATTAAGTAACATGAAAGATAGCCCCAAATTTAATATTGCCTAAAGGTTATGAATTTTTTATACCTTATTGTATAAATTCAACCAAATCATACCTGAAGAGGGAACCACATGATGCGGCTTTCCAATTGTTGCTATGGATGCCGACTGTTCCTCTGCTGCATCCAAATAATCTTCTGAACTACTGCAATCTTTGTCAAGATATTCACAAGCACATTCAATCTCTAGTGCATGAATTATGGCATCAGCTCTGCGGGCATATCTCCCCCCTGTCTTCTTTGATGAAATAGATGCGGATGCCTCAGCTTTCTGAATGTATGAATCGTACTCACCACAACGAAAAGCTTTAATTCTTTTTGATGTCTCGAGATTATACCAGTTCCTGAAAGAAATTTGGCAAGAATGCAAATCAAATTATCTCACATAGAGATTGAACTCAAAGATCTTTTAAGAAAGATAAAACACTAACCGGAAAAAGAAACTAAGTAATCACTAAAAATGTAGTGCAAAATGAACAAAATCTATCAATTATTGACACGTAGGAATGGACTTTTTGTGGATAGTTCTCAATATTGCATATCAACTTGTCCTTCAAATGGTCAGAGTGCAAGATTCTACAGGTTTTTAAGAAAACAAGAATTTACCAAAAATTGAGTACTTACATTTAACCTTAGCCAAACATGCTCTAAAAGCTGACTCATCTGCTCAGGAGATCATAGTCTGTTGACTCGTTCATGATAGAGAAATTTGTCTCTAAGCTAGAGTCAAGTATTTAAAACTAGTGTCCCCGTGAACTCACACTTAGTGTAGAAGGATTTAAGAGACACAACAATCATACTTAAAAGTGAAACAACCTTCTGCACCATTAACATTTCAAGAGGGATACAATGATTGCCAAATACAACAAAACATTACAAAAATTATTGCCAATGATATGACAGAAACAATTATAGCCAATAAGACAAAAAGTTTCAAAAATTTGCTGCCAATGATTCGAAGGTAACAACTGAGAAACCTAACTTGCAAGCATTTTTGGGCGATTTCAAATTAAATGAAACTATTATCAAATGGCTATACTTCACTTAATAACAGATGAACGTGAGGCTAACTAAATAAAGGTCCTAACCTTTAACTGTAAAGAATGATTTAATTATAAACACAAAAAGAGGCACTTACAAACATGTGTCTTCTCTCCCAAGGAGCTGTATAGGTGTCCCTGCTCTTGGCACAGACAATATGGCCTCAGGCAATTCATCTGGCCTGAGAATCCGACCTGGCCACCAATAACCATTTTGCCTTCGGACCCAAACCAACCCACCCACCGACGCGTCAATGGCTTTTTTGTTGTCATGAGCAGAATGACTCATGTTTCACAATTCTGGAAAAGAAAATGAGGTCTATGAAAAATTATGTAAAGTTGAAGTCATTGCATGTCAAGGGCACACTCAGTGGATCCATAAAAATCTCAAATCCAAGAGTAAATTTAAGTGCCTTCCTCAAAATAAAAACACGGGTATATGTCATACATCAGGAAAAAAGGGAATCTTAAAGAAAAAAAAAAGATCTTCTTTAAATTTTCTTACATGCAATTTTTTTACGTTTCTCCATTGCACAAAATAACATTTTAAAAGACTTTTTTTTCCACTCAAAAAATTGAAGTCAATCTTGAAAATATATTTTTTTCACACACTTTAAAAAGAGAGGATTTCGCATTGAAGAATCTTCTAATGGCTGCAAAAGAAGTACAAGGAAACTGAGAGAAAAATATTTTTTGTTAGCAATGTGTGTGTTTATGAGTACAGAAAAAAATTCTTAAAATGGATTTTTACCAGATTTCCCTTTGTGCAAAAGAACATGTAAAAACCTTTATTTCCACTGAAAAATTCTAGTCAGTCTTGAAAATGTATTTTTCACATGTATACTTGTAACAACTTTGAAAACAAAGGATTCCACATCAAAGAATCTTCTTATGGCTGCAGGAGTACTAGAAAAAAGAGAGAAAGAGTTATTTCAGTGTGTGTGCGCATTTTTATGTGCTTGTGTGAAAGTATTTAGAAATGTAGAGAAAGAGAACACCATCCAGAAAATGGTTATGAAACTTACCTTTGGATTCTTTTAAGCTGAAGCACAGAAGAGAAGAGAAGAGAAGAGAAGAGAAGAGAGAGTTTGTGTCTATAAACCCTAGAGAGAAGAGGCTCCCATTCAGATGGAGATAGGAATAGAGAGAATTAAATTGTAATGGGCGATACAGTCTAGGAAATGAAACATATCTATTGACTATAAAGAGAAGAGGCTATATATGAAATGAATTACAGAAAAAAAACAATACAACAGTCGGCACTAATTAATTTTGGTACATAGTATTAAATTATATTGGACGATACAACCTAGAAAACTTAAAGTTTTTTCCTTCTTTGGTTGTACTGCAGTATTTTCAAAGTGTACCAAACATGTTGAAGAGGTGTGACTGTTACAACATGAGAACTGATACAAGACTTGGCCTAAGTGCATGCTAACGGGCAGCGTTTTGAATAAAAAAATACGTTACTACACTTGGTAAGTTT